GAATTTCAGTCATTAATATTGACTGGTTGTGAATATATACTCATTGGTGGATTAGGGGACTGATAAAACTAGAAATACGTTGTTGAAGGAAACGTTCTTTTCATACATTCATTTTCATATGAGTAAAGAATAAAAATCATATAGTATGTTTAATAGCAAATGGTTACTATCACTTTTGTTATTAATTTTATTATTGATATGTAATGTTTCCCATTTTAAAGATAATATAAATGATTGCAAATGAATATTTAAATCATTCGAGAGAGAGAGGGAGAGAAAGAGAGAGAGAGAGCGCGCGCGAGAAAGTAATATTTAAGACACATATGTTTGCAAATAAAATATTATTTAACAGATTATAATAAAAAAAAAGTCTATTTCTTTCACTTATTAGAATTACAATGCTATTTCAAAGATTTTACGAATACATTTTTCTTTCTTTGAACAGCACTGTATTAAATTATATATTTAAATATTAACAAAATTCAACGTTAAACAAAATTTCACTTAAAGAAAAAAGTACTCAGAATAGTATATGCGAAGCAAATAATTTCTTTGATGGAGTATTTAGTTTCAAGAACACTCGACCATTTTCCGTTACGAATAAAATGCATCTTGTAAGCTCACAACGAAGAAAATGAAAAAGAATGAATTATTCAAGTGCCATGAAAATCTATGAAAATAGAGATTGCTAAAATGTTGAAGTAATTTGTTAATATACGCTTTTTTGTAACATATTCTTTTCACCCTGTAATGTATAGCGCATTAAATTATGCGATTTATTTGTATTACTTCGCAATTATGGATTAATTAACACTTTACGATCTGCCGATACGGCACAGCACGCTCAATGGAAACACGTGTTTTATTATTAAATAAATCTCAGTGAAACATCGCTTGGTAAAACTGAGTTTTAACAGTTGTTTTTATACTATTGTCTATAAAATAAGAGTTACATAGGTAAAACTTTTAAGTATACTGAAACAGAAGAGCACAAATGCTTCGGGTAGCCCGCGGAACGCAAAGTGTTAATAAGAAAACACTATAAATTGTTTCCCACAGTAATGTATATGGAACAGTAGCTTTTTCCTCTGTGAACGAATAGTTACCCTGTATGCTTGAATTATACCATAATTCCAACAAACGACTACAGACTTCTTTTCTGTTCTGATGTCAAATTTTGATTATCCAAATATTTGAGAGAACTAAATTTCCATTTTGATACATCGAATTTGATTCAAAAAAAGAATTTCAGTAGTTGATGAACAACTACTAACAACATATAAACCAATCAATTTTTGTAATGACCTTTTTACACATAGTAGAAACAATGGAAAAGTAATTGAAATGTAATAGTATTATTTCAATACTCAATGCATATGATGCAAAAATGTAGTAAATGTATTTTCTAGAAAATAAAAATCTAATGTTTTCAATGTCATAGAAAGAAGACATTGTATGGAGAGGTTGATATATTTGTGAACTGTGTAAGTGCCATCAACTGATTGCTTTATCGCAAACAAAATTCTGTGTACAATATATAACTTTCCTATGCCTCTGAGTTCACAAAATTTTTTAAAATAATTGAGTGATTTGTGTGTTATTTATGTAATATAAAGACAAATGAGGAAGAAGTTTACTGTGTCTTTGCATTGTTTGTTTTTTAATTTGTAGCTGAAAGTGCTAAATCTATAAATATATTATAATATTATGTAAATATATGTAATATAGTTGTATTTAGTTACCACGAAACCAATTGAATAAAATTTTATGCTCCATCATACAGAATTTGTTTGTTAACTAACTGACTTTGAAGAAGATCTATTCTGAACATCTCACAATATTTTCAGTTATAACTTGTATAAATACAATGCATTTCAATTCATGACAATTGTTACTAAATTTATTGAATAATGATTTTGGTTCTGAATTTTCGATTTATTTATTAACTTTACAAGTAGAATTTAGCACACAAGAATTCTATAACAAAAATAAATTTCAATCTATAACTTCATCATTATTCATTTTGAACTGTGCAGACATTTTTTTTATGACATGGTCAGTTTCAACAACCGTGAATGTTTTATTAGAAAGTTATACAAATTTGTTACCTAAGTGTTTAACCAATGAAATTCATTACAACAATGTGAAGAATAATATGTGCAAAAATGAAGTCTGCGAATCCCCTCTCAGGACTTATCCCATGAAATTGGTTTTTATTCTGTGGATTCACTTGCAGTCGTAAGCAAACTGTAACAGAAATATGAACCGATGATTTAATACAATGCATACGAAGATCTCGACTGTAATTATTATAAAAAGTAGATCAATAACATAGAAGATTGTCTCACATATTGATAGCAAACCTAACCTAGTTGATAAATGTGAACAATTATAAATCGATACGACGATAGAAATCTAATCCTATTAAGTAAATTATAATTAATACAAGACCTCCGAGTACGAAGCAGGAAACACAAGAAATAAATCCACTGAGAAAGCTGTTGAACGGGAACGTCCCAACAAGACAGCAGTAAATGAATTGTATAACACCAGTTAGGAACACATAAAATAGATAAGCATCAATTATCTTGAGTTTCTTCGGCGTGGATTTCGTATACTCCTGCCAGAATTTGCTAATTACTGCTAACATCGTCATTTTTATAATTATTGTGACGTTTAAGGTTGTGTCGATTCGCGACGCGTGGCACCGGTATACCAATGATCAGAAACAGTCAGAAATTGTAGTAATATGTACCATGAAGTAGAAATAATGTAGTACCACACTGGCGACCTAAAAATCACTAATCAAGATTAGATACATTATTTTTTATATCTTATTAGTAAATACTCTTTTCTACACAACAAATAATTATTTCGATTAGATCAAATTGATAGACGAAGTTTGAAAGAATAATACAGTTTTAATAAAGGTTATTTTTATTTTCATTTTAGCATTCTAGTTATTTATGAATTTTTAGTAACATATCTCTACCATTTTACAACTATCGATAACATATACCATCGATAAATATCTCGATAATCATTGAATCGAATAACATCGATAACGTAACGTAAACTTCCCGGTGTAAAGCAGCATAAAGTGCCTGTTTAGGGGTTAGTGTTTACTATGTAAATAATTTAATGTGAAAGAAACATCAAATAACGTTAAGTAAATCTTGTGATATTTAATAAACATATATCACTTATGTTAACAAAATGACAGACGAAAAAGCGCATACACAAGAATTTAAATTAGATCCAGATTGTGAGTTACGATTCGAAGTTGAATCTAAAAATGAGAAAGTTACGGTTGAGGTGATTATATATGTATATATTAATCATTATTGATTTATAAAGTTTCTTCTTTTTCCATAAAAAAATTGAAAACAAATTTTCAGTTTTAAATTTGAGGTTATTATTTCACAGCTAAAAAGCGGTTTAGCAGAGGTCTTTGGTACAGAACTGGTGAAAGGAAAAAAATATGAATTTATTGCTGGAGCTAAAGTAGCAGTGTTTACCTGGCAAGGTTGCACAGTCGAACTAGTTGGAAAAACTGATGTCAGTTATGTCGCCAAAGAAACTCCGATGGGTCTTTATCTAAACTGTCATGCTGCAATGGAAAGGCTTAGGGAAACTGCAGAGAAGGATGATACGAGAGGACCGATAACAATGATTGTAGGACCCTGTGATGTTGGAAAATCAACACTTTGCAGACTCCTTTTGAACTATGCAGTTAGAATGGGCCGTAGACCTATTTTTGTAGACTTAGATGTTGGTCAAGGTCACATAGCAATACCTGGTACAGTTGGAGCTCTACTTGTTGAGCGTCCATCAAATATTGTCGAAGGTTTCAGTCAGCAAGCACCATTAGTCTTCCACTTTGGTCACAAATCTCCACAAACTAACGTTGCTCTTTACAACCTCCTAGTAACGCGATTAGCAGAAGTCTGTTCGGACAGACTCCAAGCTAATAAAAAGGCTAGAGTTTCTGGGATTGTGATAAACACTTGCGGATGGGTAAAAGGAGATGGATATAAATTATTGACTCATGCAGCTCAGGCTTTTGAAGTTGATGCTATTTTGGTACTAGATCAAGAAAGACTTTATAACGAACTTGTTAGGGATATGCCAGATTTCGTTAAAGTTGTTTTTCTACCCAAAAGCGGTGGTGTGGTAGAGAGAAGTAATGCACAGAGGGTGGAGGGCAGAGATCAAGGCGTTAGGGAATATTTTTATGGATCCCGGACTCCGTTATATCCACACAGTTTTGAAGTAAAATGGAGTGAAGCTAGATTGTATAAAATTGGTGCTCCGGTGCTACCTGCATCCTGTATGCCACTTGGAATGAAAGCAGAAGATAATTTAACGAAGTTGGTAGCAGTTGCACCTGGACCTAACTTACTTCATCATTTATTGTCAGTCTCGTTTGCTGATTCACCAGAGGACGATGTAGTACAAACCAATGTCGCTGGATTTGTCTGCGTGTAAGAATTATAGTTTATTCAATTAATATCTACTTGAGAGTTCAAAAATAATCTTTCTTATTTGCAGCACCAATGTGGATGTAGAAAGGCAAACATTTACAGTTCTGAGTCCTCAGCCAAGACCACTACCAAATACAGTTTTATTATTATCAGATATTCAATTTATGGATAGCCATTAATTTTTTCTACTATTAAATTAAAACCACAACAAAATAAATATATTTGTATATATATATTGATTTGTAAATTTTATGAGATTAAAAATACCTTTTATGCATATCATTGTTTAAATTTATTATCGAATATTATTATAATTACAGTTATCGCAAATAGATCGTAATTAAATTTTTAGAAGAGAATAAACAGAAATAATTAGAATGTAATTACAGTAAAAAGAAACACATATGTAGAAATATTATAAAATCAGTAATGAAGCTGCTCATTAGTTAGCATGAAATAAAAATTTCGAATAGTTTGCGATACCTTTGCGTAGTTCGAGAAATCGAACGTATCGATCGAGATAGAGATTCAAATTTCTGATAGTCCGCTTTCAAAAGCAAGAACAATTATAATCGTAAAATTTTAAACCAGTTAACACATTGAATACCAATAATAGTGAAAAATTACAATAAAAAGATGAATAACATTCGATCGAATGGTTTAGATATTTCTAACTTTGAAAAAAATTTTCAAAAAATGATTTCTGAAATTCGGCGAACTACAGTGAGCATAATTTGCAACATAATGTAAAATTTTCAGATTCGAGCAAACGTTAGAATGTTTTTCTTTCAGGCAGAATTGAATAAATTAGAAAAAGAACATCTTTTACTTCGAGAACAACTCTGCTCCAACGAATCGTTTTTACAAAATGAACGAAGAGTATCGCAAGAATTACGAGCTCGTCTGCAATTAGCAATGGAAAAAATTGATCATTTAGAGGAAGAGAAGATACGTCAGAAAATAGATTATTCGAATTTGTTGATCGATCACGAAAATGTAATTAAAGAACGCAGTACTTTGACAAAAGAGGTTCTGTCCAGTCAAACAGAAGCCGCGAAATTCAAAATTAAAACAGCAAGTTTACAGAAAACATTGCTGCGAGAAACTCAACGTAAAGAGGAATTAGAAAAAGCTTTAATTGAATATAAAAATGATAATGACAGAATCATTGCAAATATTGGCATGTAGGATAATTCCATTTTATTTTTAAATTTTTACATATAACTATTTAGTGGGTAGTGCATTCTTTAAAACAAAATTTCGTTTTTAATGTTTTTACATTTTATTATGTTTAAGGAATATCGCTAAAATTTCGAAAGAACATATATATTTGATAGAAAATGGAAAAGCAATAATCAGTTTAAACAAACGACTACAGTTATTCGGACTCTGTTTCCATGCAATAAACGAAAAAAATAAGGCAGAGATCAAGAATCTACAGCACAAGTTAATGACTATCTCGATGAATGAGTCAAAGTCACTATCTACCAATGATAAATTACATCCGGAAATAGAAAGTTTATGCTTCAAGGTTTCTTATTTCTTTGAATTGTCTTTTAAAATGTATATTATTATTTACAAAGTTTTAGCTTTTGCTTTTAATATTTTTTTTATTTTAGCTAAAAGAAATGTTGTTGGAGATGAAATCTAAAATGGAAGATTCGGCATTGGTAGAAGAAAATATAAATAAAATTTTCCAGGAATTGACATACATGTATAATAACATACAATGTAACGTTACCAATCAGGAAAAATAATAATCCAAGTACTTCGTTGATTAACAACATTTATTTTGTCAATACATCTGATAAGTGATATGTTCGTTAAACTTGATAATATATTCTTAAATAAAGTTACATTGCTCGTCGTTATAAAACGATTAAAAAATTATTAAGAATTTTCATATATATATACAATAACGTTATTGTTGTGATGTACTGCTTTAAGGAATATTTAGTCATTAATTCGTTGCCCTTTCAGTTTAATTTAGCTAAAAACTTAATGGAAGCGATCGTCTGAATTTTGGAGTACAAAAAATTTGCTTAAAATAAACATAGCTCACAGAGGTTTTTGTAATGGTAAAGCTGTATGATTAGAAAATAAAACTTCTGTTAATTGCAGTTCTAAATAGTATTAATACAACACCTAAACGAAAATGATAAAACAGACAGCAATATTAGCGAATGTGACGATAAAATTAATAATTTGTCATCGAAGAATTAGGAAAGGCAGGTTTCAATAATAAACGAAGACGAATAGGATTAATATAAAATGTATTATAATAATCGTATATTTAAGTATAAGTGGAAACAAATCGGAACCCCTTTTTCTTGTATATGTGTATAAAAAGAAAAAGAGGACCCTCTGTTTCCTCGAAAAACTATTACAACAAGCGTTTCAAACGAAGACGAAGTCCGTGTTCCACCTTTTTTTCATTTTAATTACTTCAACAATAGAAACAGGAAATAAGTGAAAGAAAATCGAAAGAGTTCTCTCTTCGAATCACGAATTTGCGCTAATTAATTAATGAGTTAATTAATGAAGATTCCCCTTCGATTCGGTGAAAAAGCTAACTTGACAATGTGTATTATATATATATATATATATATGTATATATACATACACGTGCGTGCATGCGTATGTATATGTATATATGTATATTTATTCATATATTTATATATAAAAAATGACCGCCCATTGTTTACCTATCCGTACCCTCTTCTTTTTGTTATAAACAAATATCCTCGAGCTACCATAAAAAGAAAGAGATGATTTCTCTTCAATTCACAAGAGAAATTCTCTCTCTTTCGTTATTGTTTAAATAAAGTGAATACAGATGTGTGTTAAAAATCGATCATACCCCTTGATCGTTTTAAGAAATGGAGGAGAAACATTGCAGTGTGTAGCACAGAATCATACACCTCATGTTCCTTCTTTCATGCTACGGATTTCAACTGAATCTTTTTTGTGCATTCATCGAAACATTCGTTAAAAGTACGACATGAAAATAAAAACAATTTTCTATGTTATTGCTTTCAGAAGTATTTACGCGATTACGTCACTCTTCTCCGGATGAAATAATTTTTACAGCTCCTACTATCACAAGTCCTCTTCAAAAAACGAGAAAGTACGTCAATTGTTCCATATAAAAAGACCACTCAGCGTCGATTTACAATCTAAATTATTCGTTGATCATTTTAACGGTTGGAATCATCCCCTTTGGCTATAGAATCTATTATGTGTCGCCATCATTCGCCCACTTAATTAGGTTCGGATAGTCTTTAAATTGCAAATTACACACCCATGATATCTTGCTACGATACTACACTTTATGAGATTAGGCAAAGGAGAATGGATGTTACGGTCATGTCTTCGGATTTTGTGTCTTGAAATCGCTTTTCGACGTCGTTTAGAAAATTATCAAAAAATTATCACAATCCGCGATGATCGTTTCCTTTGAGAATCCTCAAATATGATTTTCCTTTTTTCTTGAGATAGAGAGAGAGAAAGGAGGGGAGAGAGAGAAAGAGAGAGAAAGGGAAGTGTGTTTCTCCTCCAGGATTAAAAGAGCTCCTATGAGTAATCAGTAAAAAAGAGAGACCGGCAGCGACGGAGGAAAACGAAGGTGGCCATCAAGGAGTAAAATCACAGAAACACTCGCGTCATGAAGCGAGAGAAGGAGACCGAAGGTGAAGAGTAAAAGGTGACGGTCAAGGTAATGCCGGCCAAAGGGTCAGAGTATAGAGCATCGTGCGAGCCAACTTGGTGGCTTCCTCTGTGGCTCGGATGCCTTCAACTGGTGTCCGCCTCCCTTTGGTGGATTTGATGCCTCCTGTTCCAACATCATTTCATTAGTCAACAATTGAACTCAAAGCAAACATAACATTCAGTATAAAGAAATAAATTAAACAACTCTGTATGATGTATTACACTGTTCTATACACTCTATTACACTCTTCAAAAGATTTGGTAATATAAAGTTGTATAAAAAAAGTAATAATTAGTTGGAGAAACGATGTCAAGTTGTGCATTGGGTTTGAAGTCCATGAGTGAGAATATTATACAATATGTGTTACATTTATGTTGCACAAGCGGATTTCCAAATTTGTCAGAAATATTTAAGACATTATACTTTTCCACGACTCACTCTATTCAAAGAGCTGTCACGGGATAATTACAGACATTCTTTATTTCTTGTTAATGACAGAGGTTACATTTAAGAAAAACCATTAAGAAGAGTAACAGTAAGCAAAAATAATTTATCGATGTTAGAGCAACATTGTTAGTGGTAAGATATGAATAAGTATTATAAGAAGCGTTCAGCATTTTTGTAATGTTAGTACATGCAGAAACAAATTGTCTAGCATACATCTGATTATATAAGACAAGGCAGACATAGAGTTACAAAAAATAATTACATAATGGTATCAGGTTTCATTTTCTTCAGTAGAAGTTCATTTAAATGCACCATGATTATTTTGGTAAAGTGATACTTTGGAAAAATATAAGATCTTTTGATTACATAAATTCTTGAATAGACTGGAATTGAATGTATCTGTTTGGTCACTTTCATGTAATCAAAACAGCAAAACCACTCAATGGCAGTATTAAAAAATAGTACTTCATACTAAAATTTGTACACACTCCTATACAGTTACTGATTGCATTCAGTTAAAATATATTAAGTAAAATGAAATGAAATATGTTGGTTAATAATAAAAGTAATAATTAATTGTTTCAATTAGTGAAAGACAATATAAATAATGAAATATCAAAAAGGTATGCAAAAGCAAAAGTACATAGAGAGGAGGAAAGTTACCTTCTGCCGTGAGCGACCAGCACCAAACACAGAGAAACAGACACAGGAAACAAAAAAATGGTGGTTAATCAATTGAAATCTATTTGCTATAACTAAATCTGTAAAAGCAACTAAATTACACGTAGATAAAAATAGATTTTTACATCAGCTTTAATGACATTAGTAACTGATCAAATCAAATTCTATTTTTATCTTTAATTTATAAAGTAATTTAGTTTTTTAACCTTCCAGCAATGTAATAAACAATATATGGATCGTTAAGTATGCAGAATATTATTTAAGTTGCTCTACATCTTTATTGCTTAAGTTATTGTAGCTAATGTTAGAAGTATAAGATATTTATATGTATGTTTCTATAAGTCTTTCAACACACCCACTAAATCTTTACACAAGCCACACCTGTAGATTTGTGTACATACATGTAGGTGTGTTGAATATTGATTACACCTACCATGTTGACATCAGCAGTTTTATTAACTTGAGAGATTGACGTGATATATTTATTATCTCACATATGAGGTCTTTGGTAAACTAGATATGATTTTACAGTAAAGAAGATAGAAAAAAGGGGGTAAGATCTAATGTTTTATGTAATTTTATCTATTTTTCGCATTGATATTCAATAAATTTTTTACTGCAAAATTTTATTAAGTTATTAAAACATTCAGAATATATATTAATAATAAAAATTCAGAACAAATAATCAATTGAGCATTTAATTAGTATTACTGGAAGACTATAATTGTAATTCTTAGAATTCATTATTTTAAGGCAAAACACGTATTAATTCCTTTCTTTCTTTCTTTCTTTCTTTCTTTCTTTCTTCATTGAAATTAACTAGTTTCTTTACCATTTTATGAAATAA